CAGAACCTCCCCCCCCACAACTCAACGCAGCTAACCTCAAACTCTCTCCAGATTTGGTCCCAATCGATTTCGCTGAGTACGATCGAGTATGGCACGAGAGGAACGACAAACGAAGTACAACGGTAAGAGCACTTGTTACATTATGAAGATCAGACCTATAGCCTGCCCGTATGAATAGTTTTAGAAATTTATGGTACGCCGCTACCATTTCATTATTTTGCTCAGCAAAACTCGCAATACCCCAGATCATTCTGAAATAGCAAGAGCCAGGAAATAAAAGATGAACAACTGCGGTTCGGCCTAGTGCAGGCATTTCGCTGTTCCCATCGATCACTGCCGATGCTTGAGGACCTGTAGATTCATGCAAAGTTATGAATTCCAGGAGCTTCGCTCATACTTGATAGTTACTACTCCGTTCATCAATACATCGTTCATTTCAGGAGAAGCCTCAAGAAAAAGTTCAAGCCACAGTTCAGGACGTTGCTTCTTCTGCTCGACTACCGTCATGGATGCTGATGACGATGACATTGGCAACGTCATTTGCTCGTTTACTTGTATACATCTGATACATCTAAGCCTATTTAATAGTTTACAGTACGCCTCGGCTGCCTACATACTTGGCCGTACCCCCTCTATACAGCACCAAAAAGCCTTTCTCTTCAACCGTAAGCAAGTAAAACGATAATGACCTAGAAAGATAGGTATTCCAGTTTATTCGAGAAACTGTTCCTTGGATATTCTCAAAGTTTTCAACAGTGCGAGTGCGGAGAGAGACCCGTTGTGCCTCCTCCATTGCTGCACCCCTCGCTCTGACGCGTGAATGCGCCGTGCGCCATGGCACGAGTGATGGTGCAATCTTCTCTCCGCCCTTGTTGCCCCTGTACAGTATCGTAGACAGGACACGTTCTGCCATTAGAGAAATTTTTGCAAGATACGACCCCTCCCCTTCCCCCATCCCCCTCCTACATACCCCCTTCCACGGTTCTCCAGGTCCCCTTCGCTGCCAGCCTGCGGAGTTTATGAGTTCTTCCTCCTATGCGGGGTAAAGGCAACAATCTGAACAGAGTCACTGATTACAGTTGATATCGTCGCAGTCAATGGCGGCGGTGTGAGGAGGCACGGAACGAGCCTACCCCTGGACCCCTGGCGTTTTCTACCACTGGTTGTTTTCTTCCTGGACTGATCACTATTTGTAGAAATGCAGCGGGGGCGGGTTCATTCCAGGCCTCCTGACACTGCCCAGACTAATTGCGTCGATATCAGCCATATGCAGGCAGTCTCGTAGGTACCGTAGACCAGCGATCGATTATCGATCGAAATCTCACCGTGGTATGTTGTATATTCAATCAATAGATGTAGCTCTATGATACACATCTTTACATATGATGACTGTGATATTTATAGCTCTATGCGACATATAAATAACAGAGAATGGTTTTTAATTAACAGCACGCACACAATGTAATTCTCTTGCTCTTGTATTTCGTGCACTATCCGGGTCATATTGATCGGTAACGGAAATCGATAATATCGTCGTACATAGTAGACATTTTGGGTTTTCATTCCGATCCATATATACGAGATTAGCTTCACTTTGCAATTCGATGTTTTTAGACTGATGTTGTCTTTCTTGTAATGGAATAAATAAATTGTTTATTCTTCTCAGAATTGGCGATAAACAACTAAGGCGCTTATCCTTCAAGAACACGCCGTGTACTTCGTTTGCTGTAGCAATTGTAGAAGCGATTGAATAAGTTGTGTATTGTGTACAGTGCGGAGCCACATATCCAGCAAGGCACGAATCGTGCTGATGATTATAACAGGGGGGAGGGGGTAGTATTTGATCTCGAGGGAGGGGGGGCTTTCTGAAGTGAGAGTGCAGCGATACCCAGATGTCGTTCAGCTCCAATGATGAATGACTCACCCATGTGAAGAACCCCTGAAGAGACCCACACAAGACAGAAGCAACCTGCCAGCGCAGAAGAGGGGAAAAGGGCGATGAGAGGAAATACGATGGCCGCCCACAGACGGACGTCATGAATCATGAATTAATAACCAAACCGAAAGGAACCAACGATCGTGGCGATTGAATAAAATAGGTTTGAAAATACAATTCCGCGATCTTCTGCATCGCACGAGCACATGTACTTGCACGGAGGAAGCCCTATCTAGGGTTGCCCCGTTCAACACCTGCTGCCCTGAAAGCCCTATGCATGGCGCATTACAGAGGGATGCCAATTGGCGCCTAATGAACTATTTCCTGATACCCTTGGCGAAAACATGTTTTTAGAAGCATACCAAAGCCTTCAAACGAACTGGAAGTGGTACGGCGTCAAATGGGTGGGTTTTTCGTGCCGTCGGCAGGGGTTGCGTTGTGATCACAACGGGGTTTTTCGAATAGCAGGGGGCTTAAAGACAGTATCCGCGCTCGAGAGGCCTTCAAAATGACTTCGCGCCTTCTGGAACCCTCTGCGCCTTGATGAAGATGATCCCGCTTTTATCCATCAATGGCGCGCGATGAGGAAGTTATCGCAATTTCGACAAGGCTCGCTAGGCTCACGGAGACGGTAGGTGGACGAGGCGTCTGGTCCCGAACTGCATCCGTCCCTTTAAAGCCCGCGCGGCGCGTGTTGCGCGCGGCCCTTCTGGCACTTTGCCATCTTCGGTGATCCTCGCTTTTTATAGCGATTAAGCGCAATCCCCGCACCGTTGGACATGAATTGAAGACGCATAGGCTGTTTTAGGGTTCCAGATGGTTTGCAAGCGCAATTCCATTAGGAGGTTGTGAACAAAAGAGCAGCAAACCTTTTTTGAATTTCATACTCTGCAAGCGATGGGAAGGACATGATTGGAAGAGCAGTTAATTCGTTTTCCGTACTCATGGCAAGAGGAGGATAAGAAATGAAGAGCAGTTAGTGTGTTTTTCGAGCTTACCTGTGACTTTCACTAGCGCCACGGTCGCACGGCTCAAGCTTTGTGCTCCAATCGCTATGGAGCGCGCGCCCTTCGCGCCCGACGCACTCGTCCAGGGCTGCTGGGGTGACGTCTGTGTTCAAGGTGTTCCCAAGGTTTTTTCCGCTTCTTTTTCTTCTGAGAAGCTACCTATGGGATACTGGTTCATGACAGAGCCCAACTACCCGCAACACTTGATCGCGGGAATTGTCTTTAAGGATTGAAAAATGAATGATTCTGCTTGGAAAGTGGCGAAAGCATCGAAATTCCTAGCTGTTGTTCTTTTTACGAATGGCCCTGTATAAAACTTGTTACGGCTGTTCAGAGCGTAAGACTTGTAAATGACCCCTAATGATCACGACCGGATCACAACGGGGGAAAATTTCTTAAGAAAGGATTTTTTTTTTAAATCGCCAAACTTAATAAGTGAAAACCTATGCCCTCCACAGTTTCTGCTTTCCCCTCTCCAAAAGCTCTGCTCTCAAAGAAGTTATGGGTGTTCAAGTGAGGGGTTCTTCCGAGTGTCTGCCTTGAAACTGGCGCGGGTTGTGAAATAGCTCCGCTCCAATTCCAGGTACGAGAGCGCACTCTCAGTCCAATTGCCCACCTTCGCGAACGATTAATATTTCAAGTGTTAGTACATGGATTTTCCTTATTCTTTCTGTTTTCATGTCTTCTTATGGCTCATTATATGCTTTATTAATTTTTGTTTATTTATCTTATGACTCATCATAGCTCATTTTCATCACACCTCATTTTATTCGCGTTTCTCACATTTATCCTTGATCTGACGTCGCGTCATTTTTGTCGTTTATTTTTGCAGATCTTTCATTTTTCGGTAGTTGTTTGTCCGCTGCTGATCTGGTCCGCTGCTACCAGATTAGCAGCGGACAAGGGGGGGAGGTCGTATCGAGACCCTTTTCAGAGGAAGGGAGGTCGTATCGAGACCCTTTTTAGAGAGGGGAGGGTCGTATTTAGCAGAAATTGATCACAACGCGATGGCGTGCCCTGTATCCAGGTGCTGAGCTATTCGCGCTAGCGCTGTCGCTACTGTCACTACCTTTCTAACTTCAAGTTTCCACGTGCAAACAAAGAACTTCTAGGATGGACGAGAGCCTGCTCCTGCTTATCGAGGAAGCATCTTGGGTATCTTCCACCCTGGTACTCGTATCCACGTCTTCTCTCTGATCTCCGTGTTCTTTACTGGTTGTACCTCGGGCTAAGTGCCTTTTTCCCCTCCCCCTACTGCAGATTGGTTCTCTTGGAAGGTGGTGCGGATTTGACTTGGTATCGCAAGCGGTGACGAGCAGTCTATGTGTGAAAGCTGCAGCTGTGAATGAGAGAGCAGCTGAGTCAGTCGAGAAAGTGGAGGGAGAGGCATGCATGGAAGAAGAGAGCTGGCGGTAAGAGACATGGCTGTGAAATAACCGTAGTCCGCGGCCACGCCCATTGCTGCCTTTCGATATGATCGATACATATGGGTACGGCAGAAAAGAACTTTGTTTTCAGAGCTTACAGCGAAATCTCAAACGACATCGTAAATGGGTCATCCTGACTCTTCCTTCAGAGAACTCTCTCGTTCTCGAAGACAAGCTTCATACTCGCCTTCGCGACCCAATGTGAACGCGTTGGTATGCTCCAATGTCGTCTTAACACGCCGCACTGCCGCGTTTAGCTGCACAGTCGCCTGGCCAGCAGAGTCGCAGTTGTTGAAAGAAATCTGTGTAATCTCGCAAGGCCCGACGCGTCACAGTCCTAGGTTCCACGCACGCAACAGCCCCGCTCTGCCACCAAGTTGAAGGCGGACCAGGCAGATCGGAACGAAGGAAACAAGTGTCCAAGACCGACCCAGTCCCCTGATATACCCCAGCGTGTCCCGCTAAAACAAAACTGTGATATGCATGTTACAACGAAAAAAAAATTAAGCAGTGAATTTTATGAGAGATTCATAGACGTCATAGAACAAGAACCTGAGCTATAGCCCGGTCATCCAAGAATCTGATTGCAAAACAGTACCCTCCGCCGGTTTCCTTTGGTGTTGTACGGTGTCACCCGAATTCTTTCTCATGACGTGGCATGCTCGGATTCTCGCCAGGAAACTGAAAATGCAGAAATTTGATTCGCAAGGAATCCATGGAAGTTTCCGGAGCAACTCGCTAGGGGAGCACCGATGTACTCCAGCTCAACTGTCACCTACTTTGACTTGTAAAACCTCTGGACAATTGTTGCACAGCTCACAAAAGTCACAATTCTGACCAAAGTTAAACCTCATCTGAACATGAATTAACAAAAGGAACCAACGAAAGTGCAAAATGCCCCTTCCAAGCAGAACAGCGCCGCTTTTTCTGTTTACCTCGAATCGATTGAAAAGATTAGCGATGAAGAGGAATAGTTCCATTCTTGCCAAGCCTTCTCCAAGACATTGTCGTTTGCCGATAGAGAATGGAATCAATTCGTCTACCTGATAACCTTACCATTTTCTGGCATTTCGGCATATTGTCGCATAACCCCAGAACGAAAGACAATCGTATTCGTCGCAGCGCGGACAATGAGGCGGTAAGTTTGGAATAAGGTGTTTCACACTAAACGAAAAGCTAAGAGCCCTAAGTAATGGACCTCCTGCTCACATAGTCTACTTGTCAAACAAACAAGCTGGGACAGATCGTTCGGGTCACGAACTATAACCACTTTACATGACCACGACAGACATCGCTAGCCCCACGCTCAACGCCAACGCAACGAATACCGATTGTCCTACAAAACCAAGCAGAACACCCCTACCGTCTCAACTTGCCATATTATCGCTCGATAAATCTCCCGATGATTGAACGTATGAGGAGCTGGGAATACCTGTAACTGAGGAAGATTGGCATAAATTACTAGAACTGTTACCTCATTTTGTTTTTTCCTAGTCAATAGGATACTAATGTTTGTGAGTGTGGGTAAGGAGATCGGACTCGTGACAACACCGACAGACAAGCTCCGCTGCGCGGTAGAGTTGGTTACCCATTTTCGCCGGCCCTTACCTTAAATGGTAGTCAGGAAGAGTCGCACACGAGAAAGACAATGTAGCTGAGTAGTTTTTTTGGCTAGCCAGCTTCACCAATTGCAACATGCAGTGCTCAATCAATCTCCTGGTCGAAATGCCGCGCATGTGATGAACGTTTCTTGCAACACGTCTTTCTTCTGTGCACCCCCGCACCCCCCCCCTCTGCGCACACGACTTGCATCACCGCTTTCGCTGCATCACGTTATTCAGATCTCCTGACCAACACCGACCTACCACGTGGATTTGTCCTGGCAGGGCATGAGTGCGAGTCAAGCATGGGAGTTGGGGGAATTTTCGCAGACCACGACACCCATCGAAGTTTTTCCCCCAGCTTCCACGATTTTTCCGGAGAGTTCCTCCACATTTTCACAACAAACTGGGGTCGAGCGGAATGGAAAAAATGGGATGGGAGGGGTTTGGGGAAATGGTGTACTCCTCTCCCCCTTTGCTGGGGAGCCTAACGTCTAAAATGGCCTGGCCCGTGGTCTTGTTTAATTCCTCTTGGCACTTCAGCTTACCCCCACAGCTTCGCGAAACCCTGCCTTAGCTCCCTACAATTGACCTTCCCTTCAAAAAAGCAGGAAAATAATTTCTGAGAAAAAAAACTTGCTGGATGACAATCCTTCTCTATGTCAAACCCACTCCTATTACAATTTACCAGTTTTTCCTTCCTCCTTCCCTCCTTCTTCTTTGTTCAGGGGATTTACAGCGATGCTTTCAGTAATATATGATGGAGTTAACAAATAGTGCGATAGTGAAAATAGTGCGAACGCTCCTACCTCTTCATCGTAGAGTACGGTACTTATTTGAGGAACTACTCCTGTTCCTGCCGGTAGGTCGAATTGACCAATTCGCACAGCGCGAACCGTGACGTGAGGCAGATTCATCGGGAGCAGATTGGCTAGCCGCTGGCTTTCCTGAAATCAGCACTTCAAAAACCAGCAACTAATCTTACTTTTGCATTCGCATCCAATTGCTAAAAGCATTCCTCACTCTCTCCCCAATCTCACTTATAAGGGCGCCTTTCACTTCATCCACTCTGATCCTACCCTCTTGGGCAATCGATGAAGGATCCATTTTTCAGACCAAGAAAGTAATTGCGGTAATAATAAGGATTAACAACAGAAATGCAGCCGAATAACCCTACCCCCATTGACCACACGCATTAGTATAAGGCAGGTATTCGTGTCAGCCAGTTGTGATTGTCGACGATGGAAGCAATCTTCTCGATCCATCTTCTTCGCTGCAATTTGCCCTTAAATAATTAAATCTCAGGCGCACACAGAATGCTGTGCTTAAACGATTCGTATCCCCAACAGTGCACAGCACCCGTCGTGGGACATCACAGCGGGCTGCTGTAGCGTTTTCCGCCACTTCACATCTAGCGAAATCAGGACTTCATTACGCTGGGATGATGCGGGCTGTCAAAGACTGAGCTGGGGAGACCGCACGATTTTTTCACCACTCGCTCCGTCTCAGCTCTTTTTCAACAATCAGGGAACGGGATGCCAGCGCTCGATACAATTACGGCCACAACAAATGCGGTGTCAGTTTGCATCTGTCTCACATAGTTCTCTGCGCTACGTTCTCCCTACCTCCCATCGCTCCACGTCCCTTTCTTACATCTATATCAATTATCACATTCTCCTGACTCCCCCCCCTCGACCCTAGTAAAAAAAAAAACTAAAAATTCTCTCAACTCCTCAAAGCGATTATGGAAAGCACTTGTCATAGTGGCTCTGCCGAGCTACCGACCAACAGGGAGGGGAGTATACAGTGCACCATGATATGGGCCAAAGTGTGGAGATCAGCTATCGATGAATAACTTGTCATTGCATCTCGAACAAAATCGTGGATCCTAGGTAGATCGACCCCATGACCGGTATAATCAAGCCCTTCGAAACGAGGTACGGCCTCCCTGTGGTGTATATCCATCACAGCTCAATCCTGACAGTCTGTCGGAAGTGTCTACTCCTTCCCGCTTGATGACAAAGTTTGAAAATTAGGCAGAAAAGTGGGAAGATCTGGAGAGAAGTAGTATTGTTAGAGCACTTTTCAGAGGCTCTCTTCTTTCAGAATTTCTAAAACCTTCCACAGCGCGATGATGTGTTCGCATTGGCAAAAACTGCTTCGGCATAATCATTTCAGGACTATTGATAAAAAGGGTTATAAAGAAAAACAGACGGTTTTTCCAACCTGAACATCTGGATGGTTGAGGATGTAGACGACAGCCCATGAAAACGTATTTGAAGTCGTTTCCATTCCAGCAAACCACAAGTCAAGGCACATATTTTGGAGTTGAATATGCCTAAATAACCAAGGGACAATTCTAGTTTATGTGGAAAACCCATTACCCCCCAAAACTTGGATGAAGACTCCCTTGTTTTTTGTTTCTTTTGCTTTATTTACACTGCGCTTTTATTCCTGATCTCTGCTTACCTGCGGGTCTTTGATAAAAAAATAACATTTCGTTTTACCTCCCCAAAGGTTTCAGGACAGAGATCACGAATACTGCACCTTTGTAAAGTCAGTAAACTTTATTACCAAGTATTTTACAGGATAATCGGGCTCGAGGAGTGCTTTCCCATTCTATAAGCCTACAAAACCCCCAGTTTTGAAAGCCACAGCTTACTCTGATTGCATGGGCGAAATCAGGCCCAGCATTGTGCCCTCCTCACTTGAATTGAAAGGGAGTGCCGTATTTTAAAGTAATAGCCAACGGTAGGCTGGACCTCGTCCGTACGATCAGCGTGAACTGTTGCATCTGGTCATTCTGAAGACCTATTTACCCTTTACCCCCACAGTTTCCAAAACTCGGGTCACAACTTCAATTTGCTGAACATCGATATCCAGGGACAGTCTGACCCTTTCAATGCGAATATTCTGTTTGGCTCGGAACTGCCGGCGCCGCGCCACAGGTGCCTTCGCCAGAATGCCCTCAGTCGAACTGAAATCCCAGGGGTAGTTTGACCCCTAAAGCGAATATCACATCTGCTCAGCCTGAAATCGCCTGTACGCACACAAGCGACGGTACCACAGACTTCTGACCCCTGTAGCACTTACTCCAGGTGGTTTCGTGCCGAGCGGTGCGCCAAGGCAGTTAAGGAAACGCGTCGACCGCTTCTGGTTGCCTGCAACAGTGATGCCTTCTCCTCGCTGGGCTCAGCCTTAGCAGAACACGGGGTCACTGTTCAGAGAATGCTGCAGACGAGCAGAAACAAGCCGCGCTGTCATGCGATGCCCTCCCACCTTACCCCATCCTTAACCTTACCCGGCATCTCATGCAGAAGTGATCGTGCTCAGACGGTCAAACTCCCCTTGGGACAAGCTTTCAGCAAACTTGGTGACTAAAGGTGGCGCCGGCGCCTGTCGCGCGAACACCGAGGGTTTTGAACCAAGCAACGTGATGTTAGTTTTTAAGAGGTCAGGCTAAACTGGAGGCAAATTTTTAGCCAGACCTTGCCCTTTAAGAAAAAAAAGAAATTGGCTTGATTTCTTATGTCTGGGCAGTAAAGGGTGAATAGTGCCGCAACAGCAGGCCTGAGAAATATGTAATAGCATTTTTGATGCTTACTTGAATGACTCGTAGTCGCCATCTGCTTCACGACGTTTTTGCTCCTTCAGGAAGGCCTCGACATAGTCATTGCTGTGTTCCGAATCATATTCGATTTCCTTCCGGTGGATTTCAATTTGACGGTCGAAAAACGCGTAAAAAGCATCGCGATACATAAGTATTCTGAAATCCAGGAGGAATTAGTCACAACTGTCAATTGTTAGACTTTCCTAGGGGTACTCTCCATTCCACGACGGACCGGAGATTGCCACTGGAAAGTTTTCATTTTCAACGAAAATAGGGACTTGATATTCAGAAAAACTGCTTTGTAAAACATGGCATCGTCCTGTTATCAGATCTTATCATCTGATATCACTCCCTGTCATCCATCAGTGTTGTTCCCGCCACAGCCCCTATATCACTCCTTGGAATCAACTTACCCCTTTGCAACCGGGTTGAGCGCTATGAACTTCGTCACACAGACCCACACAGACATACTTAGGGGACAATATATTTTAGATTTTCACGAGTTTTTTTTCCTTTATCCTGCCTGCTAGGCTAAACTTACTTCTTCCACATTCTATTGAAATAGGGCAGATATTTAGCACCGGGAAACATGAACAGAATCACAGCCGACGGGTGAGCAGTTTCCTTCATTTGACGGGAGAGCATCATCTTCAACTCACGAAACTCTTCCACATGGTCCTATAACAAAAATATATGCACATCTAGTTGACATATTCGCAATCATTCGGGGCGGTGCCAAAAGGCGTGAGCACGTCCCCTGCCGCGTTTTCTGTCAACAGTGATCTGTTAGAGACTGTTTCGGGAAGAAAACAAACAGTGGTGGAAACGCCGCGAGTGGGAGACGAGCAAGAGGACCGTAATTTGCCGCTCCGTCGCGCGCGGCGATGGGTGCGGCGTTTTCTTAACTCGTGTTAACTGTGGATTAGAACACTGGACATGCGAACCCCCGTCATCGTAGGCATTCATGACTATTTTCGATTCCGAATTGCCTGTTGTCGCCATCTACTGCCTGGAACCATCGCCATTTGCGGGCGCGACGTCGCACGCGACACTCACAAAGCTGCGAATTACGATTCTCTTGTCACATACCCGTCGCGAGTGGAGCTTATTGTATTCCTCTCGATAGCGCCCCGACTGATTACAGCGATTTTGTAATTGAAAATCTCAAAAATCTTCGCATTCAATACCTCATCAAATCGATATCCGAACAGTAGCTGATTGATTACTGATCCCACAGCGACATCGATGATATCCTAAAAATAAATTCTTAGCCTGGAAGACCCTAATAACATACTTCCATCAGGTTGGCGGGGAATTGTGGTCAGAATTCTCTAGAAAATCCAAATATTCTGCTTCTTGGTCGATACTGTGATGCATCATGTCACCATCAATGAGCCTTTTCGGACCTTTTCGTCTTCGTCCAACCTTCGTCGGATTGCCATAACCCCTGCAAACGATAGAGCGTGAGTAGAAGCGCAGTCGGGCCATCACTTATCCCCCCTTTTTTTGCGGACTCAGAACCACGCGGAAAGGCCCCTCCTGACTGCGCTCGGATCCACGTCCCGTCACTCGCTCTATCGTTTGCAGGGATCATGACTGTCTAAATGTACGAATGTACCTGCATGTCAAGTTTCTCATTCTTCTTTGATTTTATCTCCTCGGTCATTGCTTCAACTTCTCCAAGTACCTGAAGTGATTACTATTTCTATTAATAGGAGATTAAAGTACTAAGAATCGATTAAAGGCGCACTCTACAATGGCTATAAGGATTATTGACAGTTGTTGTCACCGAACGAGTTGGAGCGAGTAGGGAAGGCCCATATTTTGGCGCGGTGCCAACATCTTTTTTTACCACTCACTGAGCTCCCGAAGCAGCAACAATCCATGGAAAAAGCGCTGGTGCGGCTCCAGTACCCACGCCTTGGTGACACGCCCCGACTGACTTCAATGACAATGACTGCACGAGCCCACACGAACCGAGAGGACAAACCTAGCGGACAGTACATAGTAGGGGCCTTATAGTAATAGCGTTCCGAAAAGTTAGGACCGCGTTCACACTGTGCGGACCGATCGCTTGGATCGCTCGAGCCATCGAATCGCGAAGTATGAACGCACTTAACGGCCAACGAAAGGTATTCAAATGTGCCTGTGCTCATGATGGAACCTTCAGGAGCAAGATTCTTAGGAAAACATAGGTCCTTCCGTGTAGCGCTTTTGCGCGGTACAGCTTGAATCACTGCGTCTTTTTCATAAGAGGGCTCTATTCTCTGCCATGGCAGAAAGGAAAGAAAAAACGAATAAGAACAGCGCAGCGACCCAAGGTTCTCGCCCATATGTTCAGCGTGAAGTGTGCCAGTAAGGCCGATTACAATAAACTGTGGGTCTTGCCTTGATAGCAGGGAAAGCAACGAGCGAATTGCTCTGAGTCATATAAAAATGATCGAAATTCTTATACCCTTTGTTCCATGCCGTCCTTGCTGAGACCAAGGTCCCTTAGCACATGCAGAGCAAATCGTCTATGATCGCGCCACATATCTCCATCAGTCTCGACGACGCCATACTCACCTCCTGAATTATGCAGGGTAAACGACTTGATGGAATCACTATATTTCATAATTATTACTTATCAGTAGAATGATTTTTTTCTTTTAATTAGATCCACTCTCTGGTGAACGAGAAAAAAATCCAATAAAAATCCAACTTTTCACTGGGCCGTGTTCATTTGGACCCCCAGAAAATTGCAGCAAGAGAAATAAGAATCCTCAAGCTAAGAACGCGTTCACACTTAGCGCTCCGATCGCTTGGATAGCCGGGTGTGATCGTTCGGTCGCGCGATCGGATCACGAAGTATGAACGCGCTCTAGCGTTCATACTTGGCGGCAGCTTCCATTAGCGTTTTGAGCGTCCATTGGCGTCTCGAGCGTCCGACAGCGTCAGCGACTGGGAAAGTATAGGTATCGATCTAGCGTCTGCCAGCGTCTACCAGCGTGCACCAGCGTCTCCAGCGTTCGCCAGCGTCTACCAGCGTCTCGAGGGACTGGGAACGTATAGGTATCAATCTAGCGTGTACCAGCGTGCACCAGTGTCAGCGCACGGAGGAGAGTATGGGGAAATAAGAGGGTGACAGCTGGTAGAGTATGGGGAATAAAGAGAGTAGCAGACAGCTGGTAGAGTATGGCGCGACAGGAGGATACCAGCTGTCTGCTAGCCTCCTACAGTGCCATACTCTCCCGAATGCTAGTAGGCCCTGGTGCACGCTTTCAGAGCTGACTGATGTAAGATCAATATCTATACTTTCCCAATGGGTGACGCTGCCGGACGTTCGAAACGCTAGTGGACGCTGCACTAGCGTAAGAATAAAACAGCAGAATAATACAAATTATGATTA